TTTTCTCCCCCCCTCCAAGCCAGGCTTAGGTTAAAAAGAATATTAGAGCACCTCGTTGTGAGCTGGGTAAAGAAAAGATCTGTTTGTAGTAGTCTTAGTACTGATGTCACACGCACAGCAAGGACATCAGAAGGAGGAGTCAGATTACAGTAAGAATGGGCAGTGCAGCATGTAGCCTGAGTAAATGCTAAATCAGACAGGGATTGTACTGGGGATAAGACTGCTTGCAAAGCGCTCATCCTGAGGAGGCATGCTGATCGCTCATGGGGTCTTATGCTGGGAAAATTCCACGTAATGTAGAATGAAAGCGCTCCGTTTTCCATGTCAGCCCGGTGCGGGAGCTAATGCTGAATACACAGCGGTGGGATTCTGACTGCATGATTAATGAGAAACATAATGTATTTTGGTAAGTGCTAATTGTGATATAATTCTACTTCTGCTCACATTATCAAGAGAAGTGATTATTATAAATTTCAGATTCAAGAACATTTCATGCTGGCACACACCTAAAACTGACAACTAGAAAATCACATTGCTTGTGCAGTTTGAAAGGAATGCTTTGTCTGGGAAATTTTCTATTTGAATGGGTTGCTGCTTAGTTTTAGCAGCTTGAAAAAAGGAGATTAATGTGATGGACTCGTCTTAGGTTTGTTTTAAATGAAGTTGCGTTTCATCTACTGGAAAATGTTTAGAAATTGTTGTGAGGCATGGGAAGTTTTAGAGAAACTTAATGAAATATAAGAGCTACTACTGCCCTGTGTATGGTTAAGAGGCACAGTAAGTATCAGTATTTTATTCAGCTTTTATTCTGAAGAATTTAAAGGTACAGGGAGAAACAACGCTTTATTTGCAGTAGTGTGTTTGCCGAGTAGTCTGCGTTATGCAGATAACTAGTGTGGGGTTGTCTCCTGGCATACCACAAAATGCATTATATTTTAAGCCTTTAGAGGTCTCAGAGCTGTTAAATATTTGTGCAGAGTTTAGTTTTGTTGCTCGATGTAAATCTTCCTTAGGCTTACAGCTGATTTGGCTGCATATCCTAAAAACATGCTGGACTGTAGCAATGTTTAAACAGCATAGTGCTGCAGTACTGGGCTGGGATGTATGATTGCAATATAATGCTGCTAAATAAAAAAAAATAATAATAATTTAAAAAAAAACCCTCAGAAATTTTGTGGAATGATGCTTGAAAGGCTATTCTTGGCAACTTGAAATCTCATCTAGCTTCTGTGTTAATTTATAGCTGCATAATATTTAGAAAGAGCGCAGAGAGTTGGAGGATTTCTGAGACATTCAGCAGCTTTCTCAATTTCATTAAATATGGAATCGGGAGTTCACCTTAAGCTTTAAGATAAGCATTTCTTTAATATACTGAGAGAGTCTTGTCATATAATTGATGTGCTCTGCAATGTTTTAGGTATTGTTTTCTTAAAAATAAAAATACTGGGGAGGGCAGTAGTCTCTAACAGTGAAACTCATCATTTTTGAAAGAAAATTGCCTTTACTCTAAACTGTGCTTATAGAACATACATAAATTGATTGAGTTTGCAGAATTGCTTAGAGTCCCTTTCAAAGACTAGTTTTCAATGTTTTGGATTTATTACATTTTCCAAGTAATGAGAGTGGATGATTTCTAAGAAATGGCCAAACATTATAATGTTTAGCTTTGAGTGATTTAGGTCATTTAATTTTTGTTGTTGTTGTTGTTTGTTTGTTTAAATAGCATTAATAGCGACATTAGTTTAATTGGGGGCATATTTCTATTTTTTGTTTCCTTTAATATCAGCGCAAGTGCTAGATAGGATTTTTTTTTTTTTTTTTTTTTGGTYAGTTTTGCAACAATTGCCTGTGAGACTAGGATTAGAAGTTATGTCCTCCTGAAGTTGTAAAGACATTAGGAATATGTAAACTGAATAGTACTTAATTGTGACCTGTTATATATTTTCATATAGCTTGCAGAAACATGTAATGGTGATGAAACTATTTCAGTGTTATTTCTCCTGAAAAATAAAAACCACCAAATGTTTCGTATGCTTATCTGTTTTCTTGTACAACACAAGATTTTAATTGGAACTGTTTAAGTGGACTGTGCTTTCTCTCTGCTTTGTAAGAAATATCATGTTTGAGAGCAGAGCTAAAAGTTTCCATTAGGTTTTCGATGTTCTTTGTTGAGTCTGAAACTTCCTTGAATTTTAAATTTTAAATGAATGTCCTCTTTTCTGTCTTTTGCATCACAAAGCTTGATCTTGTGAGGCTAATGTTTAGCTGTGACTGTTCTCAGTATTTTCCTGCTCAATCTGTGGGAAGCCAGAATGTCTATAATGTCACCTGTTCCCATTGTAACAAAACTGCACAAAGCAGATTGGTGTCACACAAATCCAAATAAAAGCTAGACACAGAATATCACATACCCATTTTATCTTAAAATTAGTATATCCATCATTTAGATAATATCAGTATATTTTTTTTTTTTCTCAAAATATTTTGGTTGTCTTTCAATATGAATAAAAATTTCTGAGTTTTTTTTTTTTTCTTTATGCATGTCATTGTTCTACAAGTCTGCCTAAAGAATAGGAAGGGAAGGAAAAAAATGTAAATTTATGTATGCATGAATGTTGTTTGTTTTTCTTGGTCTTCATATGTAATTAGTGCCCATGATAGGTAGTATAGCGGTAAAGTACATACAGCATTAATGTGCAAATAAATACCACATGAAAATTTCTCTGTAAATATTGGTGTATATATATAAATGTGTATAGTGAGTGAATTGAGGGTTTTTTACCATGAGAGACAAAGGTTACTAAAGTCAGAAATTTTGTTATAGTGTTCATTAGTCTCTTTAAACCTGTACCCTCAAAGATTATGGGTTGAGATAATGTAAATTCTACTGTGCTATAAGATGAGCCTTCAAATGATTAAGCTATTATTGACTGTCCCAATTGCATAAGCTTGTCTTTTACATTGGCAGAATCTTGATAGCATGGTTTCAGAAATTATTATTTTTTCACTTAGCATACTGTAGTTTGGAGTTTGTTTGGTCACCCTGGATACATTTGTTATTTTATTGGTTGTACATTTATCATTTTGAGTTGAACAGAAGCGGGGAAGAATAATAATAAAAGTCTGACAAAATGATGCAGTGCGTTTATAGGTAGGATAAGGCAGAACTCTAAGAAAATGATAGATATTAAGCATTTTAATCGGTAGGTGTTTTGCACTGTTAGAGTTGCGTGTGTGTACACATATACACACACGCGCGCGCCTTTTGCTTGCATTTATCATCGCGTTAGCAATTAGTGTCGGATAAAAGCCACTTGCGAGGCTGCCCAGCAGATTAGGGAAGAGAAGCAGTGGGTGACTGTCAGTGGCACAGAGCTGGTGCCGCAGCGTGCAAGCAGGAACCCGCGCCAGTCCCTTTTTTGAAGACCAATTACGGTGAACGCTCTGCTGAGGTTAGAGCTAGTAGCCGTGCAGCACCAATCTGGTGTTGAACAGCATGGGCTTCGGCCGTGTGCTACCTCCAGCTCGGGTTTTTCACTAATGCAGGAACCAGTGTCACTGCTGCAACTGCTACTTGGGTTGGAAGAGGTGCGCGTGGTGGTTGGGTTCAGGGGAAATCTGCCCTTGGTCCTCAGGCGGCAAAGGCCATGAGTTTACAGAGAGCACCCACTGTGCGTGGTCATGGGTTGGCAGCGTGCTCTGAGACCAGTCAGYCTTGACCCAAGGAAGCCTGTCAGGGACACCAAGGTTTGGAGAGAGTGAGCGCTGCTCCAAAGAACTCAGCGAGCCCGTAAAGGACGGGAGGCAACAGCTGGCCTCTCTCCACTCCCAAATCAAACACCCCAAAAGTCCTCCCCCTTACTGAAGAAATACAACTGGGGAAAAAAAAATGTACATTTAGCATGCACAGGAAAAAAATAAAAAAAGAAAAAAATTCCAACTTTGTGCAATGCAATGAGATCCCAGAAGCTTTTGTTCCTTCCCCATCTCCCCCCACGCAGTGAACCTGTTACTGATTTAAGTAAATTATGTCCTGAGTGATTCCAGGACATACCCTAATATCTTCGGATAGAAATTAATATTTTATGGGGTAATATAATAGAAATCTTAAGGGAGAAAAACAAAATTTGCTTCAAAATGTCATCATGTTTCTGCTTGCACGTTGGCCTTTCTCCGTTTCAGGGTTTTGGTTTTTTTCCTTTTTTTTTTTCCATCAGTGTTGTAGAGTGTAGTAATTCATCTACATACATACTACTATTTTGAGTATCACTTTTTATTTCTGGAACACTTTCTTGGAGGAGAGATTCATGCTGGGTGAGTCATGGAAGAAAAAATACCCATACACACTGCCCAAACCTCACAAGCACTTTAAAGAAAGCATATATTGTACAAACAAACAAACAAAAGTTTCAGTGAATATGTTTTATTTCTCACCAGATTTTTTTTAAGAATGTTATAGATATCTATATATTTTCTAGGTTAAATACTGTAGAGGCCTTTCTCAGCATTTCGGTTTGTCTTAATGTAAGAGAGGATGAATCAATCGTGATAAGACTATGCTTTTAAAATGTTTTGAGAAATGCAGATAGTAGATTATGCACTGCACTCTATTTTATCACCAACCATCTGCAATAAAAAGCGTAGTTAAAATATAATGGATGCTGGATGTGACAGAAGAATTTAGCTGAACAAGCCAAGGTATTGAATCTTGAAATCCAAAGAAGACTCATGTTTATAGTTGGAGCTTTATGGCCTCCTGGACAGTGAACTTCTTATCTTGAAACGCTGGATAATCCTTAATACACATGCATATCATAACAACAAAAGAGGCGGAAATCTACAGGAATCCTCTGTGCTAGATTATATAATTTCAGATTCAGTTTCAAAAACTGTTCATTTAAAATAACTGTGAGTATATGTAGTCTGTTGCCATAAATATGGGACAATTTCACTGACTGATGAAAGAGAAGTGATTCCCTATGTTACCATTTTTTCCTGGGTGGCATAATTACTCCAAAATCCAAATCAGAATTAATATTTTATTGCTTCATTAGAGAAGATTAGGTCACAGTTGCTTCAGCTGACAGTCCTTTAGCAGAAAATGTTTCTGTGTGCATATGTGCAAGCATGCATGTATGAGCACATGCACGTGTGAATATGTGTATGCAGGTTTTAACTACCATGTGGAATCTAATCCTGCATTTCTCTCTAACATGTCTTGTATCTATTAAGAGATAAAATATCAAATAGAAAACAATTTTATTATCTTTTATTTTCCTTTGTGTTAGTGTCATTTTTCCTTTTTTTTTCCTGAATGACAATTTATTTAAATTATTTTTCTAAAATATTTTAAAATAATTTTAATACATTTGATTGCACAATTGTCTCTGAGTTATATGGCTTTTA